ACGGCTTTCTCGCTGAACTGGCGAGACATCGCCAATCTGGCAATGGTTTTGGTTAAGTTTTATCGCAAAATTTGGCGAGAAATCGCCAAGCCTGCAGACATTTTGGTCCACTCTCCATATAACTATAATTGGTATTGTAACTGAATAACCGTAATCGATCCCTATATGTAACGGCAACCGTATCCGCCCTCATATGTCTTCCAGTTATTTCGAGAAGAGGAAGGTACTAGAGATTTCTCGGCGCCGGGAAACATTAAATAAGACATGAGAGAGCATCAGTTTCTCTGTTTTTAGTTCAAAGTTCAAAGTTGACTTCGGTGTATTGAGAGTATTGCCTTTTAGATGCGTTTTGCATTGTGCTAAGTTTAACGCTCTCAGTCGTTTGAAGTGTAACTACTGATTGAATTATGTGATACTGAGAAGAGCCGTACTAGTATTTTTGTGGAAAGTTCCAGAACTGTAAAGTGTTTCTTTTGGTAAAATAAATTTAATCAAGTTCTATGTGCATTGAATCTATTACGAATCCGTACGCACAGAACAATAAGTATATGTGTATTGGTGTATATATATATGTAAGATAAAAAGATGCAAATCAAAATTATAACTTAAATTAGCATTAGCCCTTTACTTCTTCAATTTAATTTTTATATTTCTCTTCTCTATTCTAAAAATAGTAATTGCTTTTGCCAACATTTTGCAGTGGAAATTTTCGTGGATAACGTATGTTGAAGCTGACAACAGCAGAAGCTTGCAGTCGCAGGAAATTTTATACATTAATTTAATTTTTTTTTCCATTTGTGGCCACAATTACCTTGGCAAGTTAATTATGAACATTCCAAAACCTAATATTTACATTTTTGATATGGCTGCAATAAGAACAAAGCCGCAAGCAACAGTCTAGCTAGAACGAGGCGAAGAAGCAAAGTGTGTTTATGATGATGATAAAATTTTAATTCAGAGTGAGTTAGTTTCAGTTTGAAATACATTTTGATTGGATAATTAATAAAGCTCTAAAATAATTATTGGCTGTTTGACTTTTAGTTCCACATCACCAAAGTTATGTAAAAGTTATATGATATGGATTATTCTGGAAATGAAGCAGCCCATAAAAAGTTATTATAAGCAATTATTTTTACAATAGATATTGAAATACCCAAATTAAAATGAAAAATTAAATGGCTACTTAGTTATAATTAAGCTACGATAAAGTTATTATTATTAATTAAGCTATAGTTTTGGTTTACATATTTTTATGTTATACATATATTTTGTGTGTCGTATTGATATTTGCTCTTTTCGTTTTCTTCTGTTTGTACTTATTTATACAAATTTATCAGTACTAATAGAAAAATTGTGCTTTTTCTAGTTGCAGACGGCATCAATTATTGACCTTCTATTATTTTCCAGTAATCATACTGGAAGGAAAGCACTATTTCTAATTTAAAATGATTATACAAGTGTAAATTTGAATTTTCACATCAGATTAGAGACACTATATTTTTACATAAATTTAGACATTTTATATCTGATAAACAGTTGAATAGAGCGGTCTGATACGCTTATTTTCGAAAGCAAATATTTGAATAGTTATGAAAATCCCTTCAAATCTAGATGGTATGGGAAATGCATCGACTCAGAGATACTTTAGGAGAACATTTTAGAATAAAATAACGCGTTTTCCTAGCTTTGCCAAAGCTAAGCATTATTCTGAATCGTTTTGGAAAGTTAAGAAGCAGTTGCCATTATCTACGTCACGTTTTGAATGTTCCAAGGTCAAGAAAAGAACCCATCAAATCAGGTTAAATAACAAAAAAAAAAAAAAAAAAAAAAAAACTAAAATAACACTAAAAGTGAAACTAATATGATAAATGCATAGCCCATATGAATAGAAACAGCATATTTATAGTGTCGTTTTATCTTCCAAAATGGAGAAGAAGATAGTACAGAAATGCTTAGGGTTTACGAAAGTAAACTCTATCTTATCCGATGTCGCTTAAAAAAAAAAAAGCTGAATTAAAAAAAAAAAAAAAATTATAAAATATTTTCTTCTCTCTTCTTTTTTTCTCAAATAAATTACAGGAAGCTTGCTTGTTTATCATTTATTAGGAATGGTTTGGTTTAGTTTATTGCGGCAAAGCACTCTAGGGTTATCTGCCTAAGGGGAGGGATGCCTTCGTAGAGTACTTTCTAAGACTGCTATCATATGTCGGTTTGTTTCGAAAGAAAAACTGTTTGGAACAATTTTTCTGCTTGTCACAACAGCCAGTCACCACAGCTCGCTTTGGGGTTAACACAGGGGAAATTGGTTCTCCATTACAAACAAGCTAACAGCATTCGGCGCTGATAGCTGATTGGTTGAAAACGAACAACTTGCAACATTTTTCGAAAGGAAAGAAAAAGTCGCACGTCTTTCTTTCAATAGTAAAACAGGTAGAAAAATTGTCCGAAACAGCTGTTCATGTGAAACAAACGCCGTGTGATATGGGCTTAAGGTAAACTGGCTTGAATACATGTTACACATGGGGAATATCACGGAGACGCCCAGCCCGTTCGCCTGAATTCGAACCCAGGCCGGCACTACCAGTGTTCAGTGATTTTACCGTTCGGCCGCTGGTGGGCCTATTGATCAGGGATGACCGAACTCATCGGCAATGCAGCTGTTTTATCATCGAGAACCAGCACTGCTTTACGACCGGCGAACACCGCAAGAGGTAGACTAGTATAACACCCGCAAATACGAGGGATAAACAACTACCAACATCTATGTTATCTCTGAGATTGGAAATCGAGCTCAACGCAGCTGCCTTAACATCGCTAACACCATACATAGAGAAAAGCAGCATTTAAAAAATACAAAAATCAAAAAATTAAAAAATAAATTACAATCCAATCTCCATACGCTAATTCTAGTTTAATGTTTAACAGTTTTAAGCTAAGAAGCTGCGAATACTTTATTAGTTTGAGAATTTCAAGGTATACAACGGAAAATATACTGCTATGATAAAAAGAATTGAAAATGATTCATTTAAAATGCTGCACTTCCAAGAAATCGTTTGAAGCGTTTTTTTAGAAGTTTTAACGACTTTTATCGACATCTGGCAGCAATCAGAATTTATTTTACTTTAACTACTAAAAACTCGTTTTAAGTGAATAATGAGTGTTTGTTTGAGAGATTTTCTGAAATGGCGAATACGACTGAGCAAAGAATTAAAAATGAGACACTAAATTTTGTTTTGCTATAGAATTGCTACTACGAAAACGTTTGAGACAATGCAACAATCCTTCGAGGATAACACGTCATCAAAAAGAATAAATTTCGAGTCATATGAGATGGTAGAGAATGTGTCATAGATAAATTACGCTTCGGTAAATCACCCACTTCAACTCATAAGTCACACGTCGATTAAATTACAGATTTGATTTTTAACGATATTTTTTTTAAAATTATGAATATTATTGAACACTTTTCTGAACACTTCACTATTTAGATCCCGTCTTTTAATTCTGACCATTCTGACGTTCGGCGTATCGAATCTCGAGGTATTACGAAAGAGCTGAATTTTTTCGGGAAACGTGCATATAGCAAGTAGGATGCAACCTCGGCGGCCGCAAAGGGCGGCAGAATCTATAACAGCAAACTTTTTAGAATTTAGTGAAAGACCGAGCAGTTAAATGTAGTGGGCGGCTAAATGTTTAGAATTTAGAGAGGTAATGGGCAGCAGCAAAACTCTTCAATTGAATTGAATTGTCAAAACTTTTAGATCATAGGCAGACTTTGGGCAGCAGAAATTAAGACCCGTGAAGCTTGCAAAGGGAGTGTATTTCCCTGGAATAAACTTTTATTTTTATTTTCCCAGGAAGACAAATCTGCTTATAGAAAACAATAAACATGTTGGAAAAGACTTTTTTGAGTTGTTTCTACAGAAAAAATAACTCTTTTTTTTACCTGCATGATAAGTAATTGTTAAATAAGTACTCATATTTAACAAGTATGCACGTCATTTTTATTTCATACATAACTTTATAAATACTACGTTGAACGCTTTTTCCTATTAACCAGTCTTTCGTTTATCTGGCTTGGGATACAATCCCATACAGGCCGATTAATTTGCAGTCTATTGTAATTTGTAGAGCGGGGGTACATAAAAAACTGTATAATTATTAATTCGAGGTCTGTGATAAGATGACGATTTTGTGACGACGCCATTCTATCAGACAATTGTTTTTACACCGGATGCAAAAAATGAACAATTTACAATTATTTTAACTTCATTTTTATTTTGCAAGAATGAATTCATAACTCCAAGATTTTGTAAAGTATAAATTCGTAAAGTGAGATATGCTACACAGTGAAGCGTGAGTAATGACAGCTATGACGATGGATCATTTAATTACTATATCATTGCGGTTTGTTAATTCATTATTGCTTGCAATTTTTATGCTTGCTTACCCCTTTGTCAACAGTTGAGGATAGCCTTTTAATCTAGTCGATGTGAGAAGTTTAAATATGACGCTATGCTTGACTAGGCCCACCAGCAGCCGAGCGGTAAAGTCGCTGCACACTGGTAGTTCGGTCCGAGGTTCGAATCCCGCAAACGGGATGGCTGGATGGGCATTTTCGTGGTTTTACCCATGTAACGTGCATACGAGCCAGTTTCCCTTAGAAAGTCCTCCCCGAAGGCATCCCTCCCCTAAGGCAGGTAGCCCTCGAGGCTTTGCCATAACCCCCCCCCCCACACACACACACACTATGCTTGACTATACTGACCAGTGTTACTTTCGTTTTCCGTTCTAATATAATAAAGACGTATTTTTCTGTAATCCTCATATAAAACTAAAGCTGAGCGGTATTTTTGCTTTTTCACATTTCTCATAAAAGCGAAACGTTCTTTGATTTTTTCGGTTAGCGAGAAAGGTATTCATTTAGATTTTTGAAAAAGTTCAGCTGCATTCATAGCGCGTATGATATTTTCATAAGCTATAAAATGAGTGATACTTACCAATAACGAAGCAGTTTATAATAGTACCCTGAAAAGAAAAAAAAATATGGATTTCAGAAATAAAAGAAGGAAAAAATGTTTTTCAAACTCAGAAGGAAATTAAATGACGAAATATGAAAAAGGAAGAATGCAAAGAAAAAAAAGTTAACTGAAGATGTAATTAAACAGCCAAATAATCTTTTCTCGCCGGTTGTTCAGATTCTTAATAAAAGGCATGAAAAACAAAACTGCATGAGAACTATTGAAATCACTTAGAAATGAGAAAAAAATACAAAGAAAAAAGAGAAGAATTTCCTTTAAACAGGGAATTCTGGATATTCTTCCGCGAACATTATTAAAAATTTCTTTTTCTTGCAAAAGTTTCATTTTATTTTAATGCAAACATTTCAGATTTTTATTTGTTATTTTTATGAATCTAAATATCCTTATTTGGCTAATTATAATAGGATATATATTTACCGGTAAATAATGGGATAAAAAATTAATTCCACAGAACTTATTCTTTTATTTATTTATCTTTTGTTTACTTGTTGTTATTACTTTGAGAAAAAAAAATGTATTATGCAGAAATATTATAGTAAAGTTGTGTAGTTCAGCACAGACTTTTTATTTCTTTAGGACCCGATTCTCTGTTTTCAAAGGAACTTCAAATATTCGTACAATGCTTAAAATGTCTAGTTTTCAGTTCTGTTTTTTTTTTTTTTTTTTTTTTTTTTAATTGTTAAAACTAGAAGCAGAATGCATGAGAAGAAATGTTTTCTTCCACATATGAAACGAAACCAAATTTTTTAATTCTACAGTTTATTCGTACACTTTATTGTCGAATCAATAAACAATTTAACTGTATTAATTTGGCATGTCTCTATAACTTAATTAAGATTTGGAATAAAATCAAATAATACTTCGTTTGGAATTTCTTTTTTTCCAGTGTCTTACAGGATCTTTTTTTTTAAAGCATCGTTTAAAATGTATGAGTTCATATTTTATGCAAAACCTCCTTAACTGAAGCAATGAAAAAACAAAAAAAGCGTAAAAAATGTGTGAAACGTACTTCTTTGTGTATTAAGTTATAAGTTTACTTATTGTAAGTGTACTTTATATGAAATGTTATTTGCGTCAGTAGCGTTTATAAAGATGGGGGGGGGGAGTCAGGAAATGCCATAAATTTTGCTTTTCGTTCTGGATCTCTTATTCTTTTATTTATTTGATTCTGATCTCTTATTCTTTTATCTTATTCTTTTATTTATTCTTTTATTTATTTAATATCTTATTTCTTTTATTTAAATAGGGTCCTGTATTTCTTAATAAAATTCCGCGTTGCTACGAAAGCATTATGGAAGGAAAATGATGTGGAAAATTTGTAGAAACACTAAATTTCTTTTCAGCAGACATCTTAAAAAATAAACATAACTTTGCGGTTAGTTCTTCATACTATCTACTATACAATGCTAACATACCTAGTAATAATATAATTTAACTCTTTTTAACCTGAATTAGTTAAGCTTTTTGAAGGAATATTATCGATATCTGCTAGAGCACGCAAACTGGAATTGAAGTCATACAAGAGAAATAAAGGGAAAAAGGAGCATGTTGTTACTTCAAATAGGATTGTAAAAATATTTTAATTGATTTTAAGTGTCTCTAGAAATTTTTTTCTCTTGAAAAATGTTTCATTTTCTCTTGAAATGTGTTTTCGAAAAATGTTATCAGTGCAGCCTATACAGAGATAGGGATCAGTAAAACGTGGCCATTATTCACAAAATTACTGACAGAGGAAAAGTGTTTGAAATATCTTACGAGTACAGCATACAGGATGATGGTACCCAAGTTGCTGAAAAATGCTCTGTCATGAAGGGAATACGCTGATTCCAGCACGATCCTGAAGAATAAAAAAAAGCAAATTAGTGAGATAGAAAATCTTAGGATGTATCCCCAAAATAATATTAGGAAAAAAGATATATTTTACATAATTTTGCATTAAAAACTTTCACAGTCATCAAAATATTGCGCATGAACAGGTACACACGGAGTGTCGTACAGTTTGTAAATTAGAAGTAATTATTTACGTATTCCTTAAAACAATATCGACTGTAAATGCATAAACAGAGAAAATGAGGAATAAATAAAATCTAAAGGAAATAGATATTCTGTATTAAGTCTGGTACAATATTGAATATGGGAAAGTAAAATCAATAAATATATTAACCTATCAGAATGCTGTAAACACCCAGCTAATGAGACGGACCTTCTGCCCTAGACCCCAAACAAACTCTCACCCAGCGAGATACTTATACAATAAGGCATTGGCACGTGTCGCATGATATCTCATATTATAGCTACTAAAGGCACTTCAGTATCAATAAATTGCGTAGTTGGAGATATGCTACTCATATTCATTTAAATCGAATAAAAAAGATTTCATTATACTCAAGTCCGGCGTATTTTAACGGGCCATATAAAAGGAATTCTTCGTCATTTTATTGGATTTAATCTTTAACCTTCTTTACAGTGCGACATGCAGTATGTGTCTTTTTGAAAAGTTTCGGAGGATGTATTTAGGATAAAGGAATGTACTTCATCAGCCAGAAAGTTCACGTTAATGGGAGTTAGTAGAGTTTGCTCTGCGAGGACCATGGATCCAAGTATTCCAGCTAAACATTTCCTTAAACTATCGTATTATTATTCCCTTGTGATGCAGCTGCGCGAAGCGCTAGCTACTAACGTTATTAACAGTCTGAAGTGTAAGTACTTACTGTGCTCTGTGATACTGAGAAACTGTGCTCTGTGATACTGGACGAGTGCTTTTATCGGAAGTTCCAGAACTGTGAAATGATTCTTTTGGTAAAATAACTTATTTCAAGCTATCGCCGGTTCTGAATGCATTCAATCCATTACGAACCCGTGTGCATGTATCTACGTATATAATAAAAGAAAGAGTATGTCTGTGTGTGTGGTGTCTTTCGTTAGCGCTGCGCGTAAGCTAATAGACCCACGGCTATGACATTTGGACATAAGTGCATCTATACAAGAGCCAGTGCACCTCGAAGAGAATTTTTCGAAATTCGAATTAGAATTTTTTTTATTTTATGTTTTGTGAGGAAATTGCGTCATTTTGAGACATAATGAGCTATAGAAAGCGAGATTTTACTCTACACACTCCATTTTCCCATCGTCATGAAACGTAGGCACTTAGCTATTTTACGAACTTAAAATAAATTTCGTGTTTCAATAAATCGATTAAATACGAATTTATTTAACAAAGGGAGCTGAACACCTTTTCAACGGGATTTTTTCTAAAAAAGTTTATTTTAAAAAATGTACAGTTTATTTTTCTTTGCTTTTTGGACACGTTAAACTTTCATCCTTGCGACTACTTTTAAAAAAAGAATTTTGGAAAAATGATAATATTTTGCATTTTTAAAAAAATGTTTTAAATGAAGTTTCCGAGTACACATCTCACATCTTTAAAAATGTGATTTTGGCAACAATTTTATTGTTTTATTGTCGTTGATAGATTTTTGATGAAATCACATCATTTTGAATAGTTTCATTCTTTTAGAAATATGAGTTTGGCAACAATTTTTCACCGTATTTCTTATGTCACTGCTTTTAAGAGATTGGCATATTTCATTGTCGTTTTTTTACATATATATAATACATTTCTATTGATTTTTTTTATTATAATAATAATTAATATTTGTATTAAGGGATATAGCTTATTTCATTGCAATTTTTTTCTCTTGAAAGTATAAGATAAAATATCATTAATTATACTTTGCTTTTGAGAATTTTTTATTTTTTGTATTCTTTTATGTATTTTATTGCTCATTTCACTATTTTTAAGATATTAAAAATTTTGAGTGAATTTTTTAGGAAACAAAGTTTTTAACTTCCTTTATACCATTTGAGTTCTTAAGATTTTGCAAAGGAAGTTGGTTAATTTATTTATTAGGATAATTAATATTTGTATTAAGAGATATTGCTTATTTCATTGTAATTTTGTTATACGTAATAACGTTTTTTCTATGAAGTTGTTATGCAGAGTAAAATTCTACGCAGTTTTTAAATTTAACGTTTGGTGTTCCCTTCAGCCATTTTTGCGGTACATTTAAAAGCCAGACGAAGGCTGGCAGCGAAGCTGTTAGTATTAAAAATATATCGCTTTAAAAACTAGGTAGAAAAAATATATCGCTTTAAAAACTAGATTTACTTGATTAAGTTAAATGGTAAAGTTTATTTAAATAAAACTCTGTACGAGATTATAAGATGTACTAAGTAATTACCGTTAATAACCAAGACGTTATACGGTAGATCTAATTTTAACAATGAAAGGAATTCCTTGAATAAAAGTTAATAAGGAACAAAAGTAAGAACCTAATTTAGCATTTGATATTTCTTTTTCCTCAATGACTGCCGTCTGCAGTTATAATAAACTATCTTTAAAACGAAATATTCTTTAAAACCAAGACTGAAAAATGTAAGGAAATAATATGATAAATAAATTCTACAAAATAAAAATTTTGATTTTCATTACTTTAAATAAACTAACTAACAAAAGAAAATTAAAACTGAAATCCTCAGATGAAAAACATTATTTGTATAAACTAAAAAAAAACGCATTTGGGACAGTGATATAATTGCTTGAAATCTTTTCATTGCGTTACAGAAAAAGATATTAAATTTTAAGATTACGAATATTTCCCATGATGTATTGTTTTACTTTCTTCATCTTTAGATTAAAGTCTAGTTCCAGGGTCCTTTTTTTGTTAAAGGCTTTATTAATCATAATAATTTTTTATTACAATAAAGCGTAGTATTTGATTTGCGACTGTTATTATAACTAAAGCTTACAGCTGATTAAAAAAGATAAAAGCAATATAAGTATTTCTTTGTTTTTAAATCCCAGAGAACCTTTAGCATTTATTTAGTACCCCAAAAATTCATCACATGTTATATATTTATCTTTGACTAATAATAACATGCGAAAATGCCACCAAAATACTTAAACAATCACGACAATTTCTTTTAAAGTGTATTAGACGTTTTTGCGCTCGTAAAGAAGACGAGAAATATTAAATTGAATAAATTTTGGATGAAATTTGCTATTCTTAGGAAAGGAACAAACACATCATGAAAAGCAAAGTTTCCTTCCTAATTTTTTTTTATTGCTTAATGCACAGGCTACGTAGGCTGCCGTAGAGGACGCGAGATTTCTCTTTGAATTATTGTTATGTTTGGGACGCCATTTATAATGATCCCCGAAAATGCTGGAGTCGAAACTGTCTGAGATGATATTGAATTTGCATTTCTCTTGGTATTTTTCCTTTTCATGTGCTGCCGTCTGAAATTGTGCTACTAAATACCGATTTTACCACTGTTAAAATTCCTTTGAAATTACCCTTCATTTGTTTTCATCTTCGCTTCTTGTTACGGGGCTTTTCCTTCAGGCAGAGCGTCTTTTTCTTTACCACATTTACGTTTCATAGGAGCATTCCCAAGTGATTTTGAACACTTTGCTTTCCTTTTGTTTTGCATTCCTAGATCTCATAGTTTCTAGGGTTTTCCCGCAGTTAAGTATCCGTACATTTCCAACCTCTCCCTAGAATATATTACCAATACTCCACCTAAGAATATATCTGTCCTTTTAAAATTTTACACACAAATGATAAAAGGCAAACTTAATGTGCTCGATTCCCTTGATATTTTTATACTTTAGCCAGTATGAAGCATATTTCAATATAAAAAGTATTTTCATGATGCGTTTAACAGTGAGATATGAAATGTGTTTTCTCTACGATTATCGTTGTTTAAGTTGAGAAATATATTTACTCACGGTGGTAGCATGAAGAGAAAAAACGCCTTCGGTGTAAACTGTGGTAGTAGCTCTCTAGAATGAGTGAAACTGGAAATAGAAAGAATTATTTTCATGGGAAATACAATATTTAACATGAGTTAATTTAAATTGCTCAGATGTATTATATAAAATTTATGCAATTATTATAGGAAAAAATAGTTCCGTGAAAGGATTTACATCAATACGGCAAAACATTTCTACTGTGGGAATATACAAATCTTTGTGTATCAGCCATCTGTGTTTAGCTACTTTTAGAAAAAAAGATAGACCTTATGGCGCTTAAATAATACATAAAATATACCTTTTTTTATTTAATAGGCATTTCAAGATCGTAGCGACTCTTCCTCATTTACGATCGTAACGCGTGCAGTCATTATCGCCTACAGAAAATTTGGGAATTTTAGCATATCGAAGGATTCGACTTTTCTTATTCAGCAGTCATTCCATAGTTATGACTTATGGTTTGAGGGAAAGAGCCTCAAATTGCTTATTCTAAAATAATAGACTATAGATACTGATCTTGCAGAGGTTATGTGAAGATGAGAAATACGCTACACTGTATAGTCATTAGGTTATATCGACTGCAAGAACGGGGGAAATGTGCAGTGCCTTCCTTAGAATTCGAACTCCATAGCTCCCAAATACGTATCGAGCGTGCTTCAGTTACACCACGAAGGCATGTAGAAAGGAGGGAGAAAATACCTTATAATCGAACTTCCACGTTCAGACATCATTCGTGAGAAAACAACTTTAAATGCATCATGAAGTACTTTCTCTTTTACAGACTTACTCGTGAAATCTCAGAAAACCGGGTATCTCTATACAGGTTCCCTTAAATGTTACAAAAACCTTCTGGGCGAAGTAGGACACATCATAAGGATTAAGAATTGCATAGGAACCCATGCCCGGAAATGTTAGGAGTAAGTGGTAACAGAGGTAAAAGATGGGAAAAGAAACAAGAGAGTGATTAATTTCAAACATTTATTGCACATAAATACAAATGGTGTATGACAGCTTGAATGTTACAACAGATGCTCGAAGTTTGTACCATCAGACACCAAACATGCCTGACACCGACGTACTATTGATTGCCGGGCATGTTTAAACACACTGAGAGTTTCTTTGATTGAAGCAGCTGAATCGGCGAGTCTTGCCACGAGATCCGTTTCAGACACAACAGGATCGTGATACATGACACTTTTTATGGCTCCCACTAAAAGAAATCAAGGCTTGATAAATCCGATGAGCGTGAGGGCCAAGGAACCGGTACACCACACCCAATCCCTCGATCCATCGATGCGGGAATAATCTGTTCAAATGGCTATGAACATCCAGTCCAAATTGAGCAGGCGCCCCATCACGAAACCACATGTTGCGCCTCACATTTGGTGGAATATCGTCAAACAAGCCGGGAAGTATCTCCTCCAGAAAGATAAAATAATTCGCGGTATTCAACCTGGATGGTAAAAGGTACTGCCCAACTAAGCAGTCACCGACCAAACCCCGCCCACACATTAACTTTGAAGCGTTGTGGTGCCGCACACCGTGGAAGTTTTCTTTAGCCCACAGATGTTGATTGTGGTGATTGAATTCGCCATGACTATTGAATGTGGTGTCATCTGTGAACAGCACATAAACTGGGAATTAACATCACGGGCACTTTTTTGCAGAAACTACTTTGCGAAATGCACATGTTCATGATGGTCATCGGAGAGCAGAAACTGAACTTTTGGAGACGAAAGGCGTGTAAGGACTCGGCGTTCAAAATACTCTGGACACTGGTAGGAGACACACTTAATTGACAGGCAATATGCTGGTCCTTGGATTATTTTCCACCATATCCAATGTACTTTCTTCCCTAACGACCCAACGAACCGATCATGGCTTGTCCCCACAAATTCGCACAGATTAAATGCAGACTAGCAAACAAACTGTGGTATGGTTGATGTCTACTGGGAAAGCGTTCTCTATAAATACGTGTAGCGGCTCGTCCATTACCCTCAGCTATTCCATACACTTTAGTGCATATATGAAAGCTCTCCGTTCATACAGCGTTCCATGCTCTTGGTATCGTGACTTCCGTCCGAATGAGGCAATCCTTACATTTTACTAGCACTGTCCTGTACAGTATCCCCTGACGGCGTATAATGACGTTTTCGGGCATGAGTTCCCATGCAATTCTTAATCTTAATGATGTGACTTACCGCCCTTAGAAGTTTGTCGTAACATTTACGGACACCCTGTACAATCGCCAGATTTCTAAATGTGGAGAGGGATATTAATGTTTTTTTTCTTCTGAGGCGGTTGGATTTTCGATCCCCTATCTTGCCTTGCATTTCCTTAGTGTAGTGTTACGAAAATGGTTCACATAAAACGTGTTAGACTTAATACAATAAACTCTTATAGTATATAAGTACTCTTATACTCTTATAGTTCACATAAAACTTGTTAGACTTAATACAATAAACTCTTCTGAACAAAGCTAACAGGTGTAAATTTCAAGATACAACTCAGTCCCCTAGATATGACGTAGATTTAAAATTAGGCAAAACAGCAAACTTATTTTGGTGTAGGTTTTGTTTTCAGCGGCTATATTCATAAATTAAAACTAAGTACTTTAACAGAAAAAAAAAAAAAAAAAAAAAAAAAAAAAAAAAAAGGCTAACCGTATTTTCCCCTGAAACAATGAAATTCCTTCCCATTAAAAGGAAATTCCTCCTGGTTCAGATTCACTGTTCGATCAGCTCATCGAACAGGGACAAAACTACGAATTCTCGAGAAGTTCAAATTTCAGTTCATTTTGTCCTCTATCAGTAACATTCGTTGCTAGATTTTTAAAAAATTCTATTTCTGACTTTCGTTGCCGGAGAATTTATAGTATATTTTGGTCAACGTGGTTTGTGATATATCGGCAAAACTAAACGAGCAATAAAATTTCGTACCAGGAAGCACGAATCTGACGATGTAGAAGGAGAAATAAATAAATTTTAGATAGCCAGTCTTAGTTTGAAATTTAATTATAATGACGTAAGTTCTGCGAAAATTATCCATACAGCTTCTTCAGTTAGTGAATTGGAATTATTGGAAGCTTTTTCACATTCACAAAAACGTGACTTCTTTGCTTAATGACATAGATTACAATTCAGTCCTTCTTAAGGATTTTAGAATTCTAACATCTTAGTTTTTAACGTTTCATTACTATTCATTCGCTCCTTCCAGTTTTGAAGAGTTTCGTGAAGAGAGAACTGTGTCTGATTGCTCTTGAAATCGCTATAATTTTAATCAAAATCAATGGCCAAAATAAGACAGTTGTTTCGTCTGAATTTAAACTTTATAGTGGTGGGTTTTTCTTCCAATTTGAATTTCAGACTTTCAAACTAAAAGGTTTAAGCTGTGTATAGATCTCGTAACCTCATGCAAAGAATTACCTTTAAGAAACAAAATTTAGGCTACAGATAGACTTACTGAACAATGGTTCCAACGATGGTTCCAAGTACAATCAGCATACTGGAAATGAAAAAAAAAAAAAAAAAAAGAATAAAACCATTAGCACTCACACAAACAGTTAATGTATACGTTGAAATAGGTTTTGATGTAATTCTACGGTCCTATAATTTTAAATCCAATATTAACAGACCAGTACCGCCTTAAATATTCGATTATTTGATCGACTGTTTTATGCGCACTTTTCTAAATAAATCTGCGCGGAAAATAGGTTTACGAAGAAAATAAAATGAATGGGTCACTGCCTCTTAAGTCTTTTTGAAGGTTCTTTAAGAGAAACCAGCTTAGAAGCATTTGAAATGGAAGTGGAAGAATTCTTTGCCTTTCTGAACTCTTCTCTTAGATTTTTATTGAAATGGAAAAGGAAGAACAAAGATTGCCGTGAGAGGAGGGACCCCTCCCCCGCGTCCTCGATGTTCTTGCGCTTTGTTCATCCATCAGACAGAGCTTCTGTTTTTAAAAAGCACTTGATAATAATGCACACATTTACATTCAGAAACGAGTGTATGTATACGAAGAATGTGCATGAGGAGAAATTGGGAGAGGGCAGGTTAAGCAAATGCTAATCAAATGCCTATAATCCACTTAATAGATAAGAGAGAAATACATTAATTTAAATTTTTAAACTGAAAAAAATTTAACTCAAAAGGTTGCAGGTTTTATTTAAAAAACAACAACAACAACAACAACCAAAAAAAAAAAAAAAAAAAACTCTTTTTACTTCGAGGTAAGAATTGTGCCAGTCTCTCTGCAAAGAAAATATTATTCCATACCTTTCACTGGATATGTAATATTTAAAAAAATAATTACTGATTAAAGAGCTATGATAATGAGAATCAAATCAATAATTTTGCTTTATTAAGAAATTGCTAAATTTTTGCTTGTTTATCTATCTTCTATGAACTCTAGCAGTCAGAAATAAAGTTCCTTAGAATGATCCTTACATGATCTTAGAAGTGTTATTTATTAATAAAAACTGATGGTATAAATGATGATTGCATTGCTTAGAAATATTATATCTTTTTTAAATCTCTTGGCTTGCTATAAGCAGCGCAGTGTTACCAGGAAAAAAATTAAGAACGAAAATTTTAAATTCTGTATCAAGAATCTCTTCTGTGATCCTACAAATAAATTCTCTACAAAAGTTTTCGAATGGTTTTTTTACAATCCTCCTTTCAATCTTTTTCGTTTCCTCTTCCTTTTACACACAGTCCTTCTAATTTTAAAGGACTTCTTCTTTATTTTTATTTTTTTCGTTGGCTTTTTTTATTTTTACTTACCTGTACGAAATAAAGGAAGTACTGTAATCACCAAAAATTTCCGCTATCATATTTCAATGAAAATATCCATTTTGACCACTATCGAATGCAATTCAACGATGTTTCCGTATTTAAGGACAGAATAAAGGACTCTTTTTTTCCAAAACGAATTATGAAACTAATTTAAAATAGTTTCAGAAGAGAACTTTTCGTGGCGTCTGTACGTACGTACGTATGTATGTATGTATCTCGGATAACTCGAAAACGAGTAGCTTCAGAATGTTGAAATTTTGTGTATAGGACTGCTATAACATGCAGTTATGCACCGCTTATTATGGTTGCTATCGGCCGTACCAAAAGTATATATATATATATATATATATGGAGTGGGTATATACTATATATATATATATATATATATCCACCGAGCCACCGCCACTGGGCCTCATATATATGCCCGGTGGCGCAGTGGCTAGCGCATCGCGCAGCATCTTCACAGGTCCAGGGTTCAATCCCCGGGCTGGGCAAGGTCGACTCATCCTTTCATCCCTTGATTTCCATCCTTTGGGTCGATAAAATGAGTACAAGTTCGATTGGGGACTAAACACTGGGGGTCTAGCGACAAACTGACCACTTGTTCAGGGCATATGCTCACGCACCCCGGGGCCCACGGTCAAGAAAGCAGGTTTCGGGGCACTTCAGGCATTGGCACACTAGGGCTGTTACGCCACTGAGTTTAGTTTTAGTTTATATATAAATATATATTTACATACCCACTCTGTCACTGTGTTCAATGAGTTCAGATTTTTATTCTTATATGTTAGTAAATTGTGCATTTTTTGCTTTAAAAATGATTGAATTATGTTATTCTTATCATCCGGTAAGGTTTTTATGCCTTTAGTTCATCTGCATGCAATAGTTGTAGAATTATCAAGAATTTAAAAGTTGTTCAAGTGCGGCTAAGCCTAAATTTTTTACTATAGCAGCCATATTTATTTACATTTGAAACTTAGCAGAATAGCGAATTAAGTTTTTCTACACCTTCAGTGTCTTTTTGCCTAGTGGGACCAAAAGGAAACTTTCGATTTTGCGCACCAAAAAATCTGCATTCTTGTGGCCATGGTCATGTGAACAGGTGGTGACATCTGATTGGCTTTAAAAGTAAATTTAAAAAAGCTGTTAGTAACAAAACTTACTAATTCTCTTTTCTAACTCACTTTGGAACCCAGCTAGTTTTGTAACGTATTTGTATGAGGAGAAGAGAAATGCGATATTGCAAATTTATTGCATCTTTCTTTTTTTTTTTTTTTTTTTTTTTTTTTGCTTTGTGCTACCAAAAATTTGGCCGAATTGCTTGTTTTTGCGTAGAAAATGTAATTTTTAAAAGAAATTCTTTATTATTGTTTTAACTATATTTGGCGTTTTATGTTTTTTTTTGTATCTTTCAATTTTTAATGAAAATATTTTGAGTTTTATGTGTTTTTGCCTTGTCGCGAAATGAGATTTGATTTAATTGAATGAGAAATCTACCTCTAATGAATATCAAGGAAATAGGTTTAAATGAAATGCAGCAAAATTTACGTATAATTTAATATTCCGTACTAGGAAGTTATGTGGTGTCTGCATCAGATTTAGTTAATACGTCTGCAAGAAATATGTTGTCTTAAAAATTAGATTATTTTTTTTTTCATACGAAATTTCCTTAAATTTCTATTCTTTGAAATTTTCATTTCTTGCTATTTTCGAAATTAAAAGTTGGAATATTTCAGATATGTTCACTAGTTCTAATTCTGCATATATATTTCCATTTATACAAGATGCGTTTAATAATCTGTAAGCCTAACTATGACATAATTTTTCGCAGAATAAGTACTAGATTTTACAGCTTCCTTAACTACTTGCGCAATCAAACGAGCAGATAGTAACTTGGCAACGTAGCGTAGTGTAATAGATCGCTGACCTTGAAAAGTGTAATATAAATTCAAGTTTATCTTCAGAAAATAGGAAAATAACGTCAAGTTAATGGATGGTTAAAATACGGTAGCGTAAGCAAATCACTGTTCTTAAAAAAGGGACGTGATGTGAAAAATGTAAAGACATTTCTAATTTTAGTAAAAGGAAACCATAACCATAATCATTCTTTAAACACTTTTTGCATTTGCTATTTTGTATTGTTATTCTTTTTACTTTTGTTATTGTATTCTTGTTTGTTTTCTATTTCTACCTATTTTGTGTTTTCTTTACGACGAAATAATGTAATTCCCTTGTTTGATGTCATTACTAATAGAAATAAAATTGTGTTTAGCTTTCAAGAGCTGTTTGAAAAAAATTCTATTGTTTTATTTTATTCGAAACTGTAAGTTGGGGATTTAAGGAACTAGAAACAATTTAGTGAATAATTTTTTTAAAATAAATATGACTTGTATTTTCTTTTAAGAAAATAAAAGAGAACTCTTTCTTTCCTGTTTTTCTTCTTTTTAGACTTTCTTGAAAAATCAGGTTAGATAAGAAAATAAAATTCCGCCTTTCACGTAACATTTATATAAAAATTTGTCCTACAGCAGATTTTCAGGTTCCTTGACTGGATTACTTTGTCCCAGCTATCTCAGATATTTAATATTTTCGTGCAAATATAGAAAAACACAGAATAGAATTTGCAGAATAGCAGCTTTACAACTTACCATGACTCTGGAAATATCGATGATAAAAATTCAGCGTGATGAAAACCTGGGACGGTAAAAAGAAATCAGTCTTATTTGAAGAAACAATCACTGAATAATAACAATAATGAAATTTACAAAGATACCCGGAAATGCAAAATATATTTTCAAAAATAGCATCCGACAAACTTCGGTAAGTAATAATTGATCATTCAAGGTTTTAAATAACTTTGCTCTTCGTGGTAGTTGTTGGTCGTCTTAAAGTGTGATATTCAGTACCGATGTTTCATTGTGTTCTTAGAAACACTGGTTGCTTGTAAAATTGGTTGTCGTAAAAAGACGATGCCACAGATGGGCTCAATGTATATACAAGATTTACAAAACCAGCAAAATGATCAATTACATAGACAGTGATTCTCAACCAGCTGAAATTACTAACAGGAGATAAGAATTTAAACCTTGAACCAGTAAATTATGTTTGGTTCTTCTTGTTAATAAACTGTCTTTTCCTTCTTTATAAAGGAACTCATTATTAGTATAACTCATTATTTCGAAACCTTCTCCCTTTTAATTCTGGTTCGCGGCCAAAGAGAAGGGTCTAAGAGAATAATATTTTACCCGAAGTCCACGAACTTCCATAAACCCAGATGAGAAAATACATTTACTTTAATCTTTGTGAAATAATTAGCTCTTGATTTGTTGTCAACAGAAGGCCGTAGATGCCTATCATAACGTCTGAAATGATTACACCATTTATTTCCTAAACGAAGATTCCAAGTTTTAATTAAAGCGAAAGCTTTGTGGAAATGCCATCTAACATTTGAATTAATACCACTTACTCAATTTAGAGTCTAATATGGAAATACCATTGATATGGAGTTGGAGAATTTTGAACGATTTGAGTTTTATTACTAACTAGTTGCTTGCGCGGTCAGCCGAATAATATAGTTATTATGGTAAAGAGAAAAAAATGTAATGATTTTATCGAGTCCAGGTAGTGATTTCACGGTTCCAGCTAGTAATTACTAATAACAGAGATGGAGATCTGCATTTGTTGCTTTTAAATCACAGTTTCTTAATCAGTATCAGACAGACTAAATTAGAAAGAAAAAGTAAATAACTTGTGCTTTGTCGAATGGCAACATGAAATGATAAAAATATATTGTTTTGAGCAGTGGCAACATATTTCTTTATATTAAATCGTTGAGTTCGTTGATTAAATTTGAAACACAAATATCTTACGTTTTGACGAGTGGCAACACATCTCTTTTAAATCACTGAGTTTCCTGATTAAATCTAAAGCATGATATTGAACTGAGGTAGAAAGAAGAAACTATTTAAAGGGAGGTTTTAAAGGTAGAATTAAAGGGTGTCCTGCATGCCTGTAGATCACGCTGCTAATTTGATTTTCTTGCGAATAGTATTCTGCGGCGTTGATTTATTCTTGCGATTACGTCGACCTTAGGTCAGAGACGGCTTGCACGTTAGTCCAGTTGTAAAGGCATTAGGCTTACTTATTTTCTTAGTTAATCTATTATCTTTGATTTAAGCCATAACAGCTGGCTTCTGAAAGCACAAGTTGGTGCCGTCTACTAAACTTTTATTTGATTCAAACAATAGGATCCTTTCCCTGTCACTGTGGTACTTAAAAGACATAGTGATAATTCGCCACTAGTCTTTATAAGAGTTCGTCTAGTTTATGTCACTTAAGAAGACAAACTCTGTAAATGTTTGTATGGCACTAAAATGACTCAAATATGATACATTTTTCTACAATAAAAAGGATTTCTAGCGTTTCTTGTATTCTGACTTTTTCAAAAATTAAATTATTATCAGCTCTGTTTTAATCTTCATTTTTAGTTACTGTGCTAAAGTACTTTTCAGACGAATTTTAATGGCGCCACTTCTGTCGCTATTTAGATGACAGTTAAATTTTGGTTACAGCCATTTTCAGTAAGTCTGTATTATCTGTGTTTATTTCTACAAGGTGTGATCACCAATCAGGATTTGCTGTAATCATTGCTATTTATCTGCGCGTTCATTTACACATTATTTGTAGCAATAATGCGGCCAGTACACTTTAAAGCTTCTCAAAATAATCAGAAAGAATTAAATATAAGTTAGACCTTGAAAATGGACGAATAAAAATGGAATAGTGTGCTTACTAGAAAATAAAAAATTCTGTTACTTCAATAATAAAAATGATTTTACCGATTTTGCAGAAGCCAGCCACTATGACCACGGCCGTGTAAATGAAAGGGGTACGGACATAGTCCCATTGCCATGAAGCCACATGAAGGGCATGTTGGTCATCATGCTCAGTGTGATTGCTGGAAGTGTCATTGCTGCCCTCGTGAGATGGGATTTCACTGGTGATTCCGAAGTCGATACCACCAGGTTCGAGGACGACGTCGTCCACCTTAGACTCGTTTGGAACCAGAGGTGGCTGTTTGGGATCCAATTCATTATCCGGAATGTGGACAGGTTCGCCTGTAATTACAAAGATATAGATGTCGAGAACAAAAACAAAAAACACACACACAAAAAAAAAAATCTGAAACTTCTAAAAATATCAGTATTTTGAAGAGAGAGTTAAAAATGGAAGAAGCTAGTAGTAAAATTCGGTAACACATTCTGAAACAAAAACTTAGCACACCTTTTAAAAACCATTTCATCACAATAAATGGTAGAGGAGTATTAAAAAAGCAAAGAAAATTAATTAAAATTGTCGACAGAATTATGTAATGAATGAATCCGTTTGTTTTAAAAATATACGCTTAGAATACATATTTATACGACGTATAGCCGTTTCTGGTAGCAGTGCATGAAGATATTCGATTTATCAAGGCCCGCATGAATGACATATTCACTCCCCCATTTTCTCTGTTGTATTTCATTCTGTTCAATTATGTGAGGAGAAGGTTGTAACCAGCGTTCCAGAAATCTTATGTGTATTTTTCTGAGAAAGTATTGCCGGAACCAGTAGTTATTCTCAGCACTTGTTCATTCAGCTATAGGTGAAGATCTAGTAGTGCGTACAAGTGATTACTCGCACATCGACTCAACGTAAAAGTTAATATATTCGGCAAAAGAAACAACGCTTAAACACAAAATGTTTGAACACAATAGATATATGCCTAAGGAAAATAACCTGCAGATTTAACGAAGAAACGTGTTTGGTATAAAAATGGCAGATTTTGCGGAGAGCCCTTGAGCACTTAAGAAGGAAAATCAAAATACTCAAATTTTGAAAAATAAGTGGGTTGTTGTTGTGACTTATTTTAATTGTCTGACAGTAGCATTAGAATAAGTCCACGAACTTCATTGTGTCAAGGAGAACAGGGTTGCATCTGTCATTGGCAAGAGCCCTGAGCACAATACAAGGCGACAGTACGACTTCTCTCAGTTTCGCCCTCAATTTTGACGGACAGCACCCCAGGGGGGTCGATCCTAGGGTCTCCTACCCCTTTTCCCCTACCACAACCTTCCAAGAGGACTTTAGGCTCGGCAGATATTTATAGCGCCCCCATACTGCAAAGATACTATACATTTACAAACACCTTTGGGAGGTCGGCATAAGTATTCAAAATTATGACTCCATTGGTATTTATTTACCAGTTAAAAATATCTAAGTACAGGAAAGAAACATATCATGATGATAAAAAGATCAAATGTATAATAACTGTTGTCACAGTGGTTCCTTTCGAGTCCAGAGGACGATCTAAGAAGCTTGGTATGGTTGAACAATTTTTACACGTCTGCCAGACTTAATGAAAGTTGGCAATGTTTGGTTTATCCTAGATTCAGTTTCAGATTCTTTGTTGTTATTTACATGATTTTCTTCTCTAGAGTCTACTAGTATGTATGCAGGCTTTAAGCGATCTACAGATATTGCATATTTATTGTCATTTATATCTATTGTGAAAAATTTTTCAGTTCTAACTAATACTTCGAATGGTCCCTGGTATGGTTGTTCAAAAGGTTTTCACACAGTGTTTTGTCTAAGGAAAACATGTGAGCTTACAAGTAAATCATAATGAACGAACATATTGCTCGAAGAGTGCAGAGAAGCTGAAGATGGTCGAATAAGTCGCATCTGCTGTCGAAGATTGTCAACAAAGTCTTTTGCAGAAATCACATTTGAAAAATAATTGCGAAAACCTTCTCCTGGAAGTTTCAAGCAAGTTCAATGGACCATTTCAGTTGGTGATGATTCAATATCTTCTTTAATGCATGACCTCATTCTAAGCAAAACTGATGGCAACACTTCACGCCATCTAACTGTTGCACGACATTTTGCTTTTAGTTCTCGATGCATGCGTTCTAATATATCGTTACAAATTGGATGAACGGCAGTAATTCTTGTTTTGTGAGTGATCTAAACAATTCACTTTTTAAGTTTGTACCACGATCAGTCGTTATGTAGTATCAAGTACTCCAAAATCTAGTAATCCACCCAGAGTAAAAAGTCTCAGCTACAGTTTCAGCAATTTGGTTAGCCATTGGAAAAGCTTCCGCTCAGCTAGTGAATTTATCTATGCAAGTTCAAACATCTGTAGTCTTTTGAGAGTTGAAGTGGGCCGATTATATCTCTATGTATATGGCTGAACCTAACATTAGGTAACGAAAATGTACCAAAAGGACATGAAATGTACGATAAATCAAATACACAATAATTGTTGTTCCAAGCTTATTGTTACTATGGCAACTCATTACTATGCGATGAATTAAATTGTTGCTACATATCCATGCCTTCTCCGGGAATCGAACCCTGGCCCTTCGGTACCGCAGTAGCCTCATGTACTACACCGTTCTGGGCGGCTGAAAATAAGTAGAAGACCTCATTAGTGTAACGCCAAATGTTGGAAGGTCATACAGCGTCTTCAAAGGGACTAGCGACAGTCGGAAGTATAGCTAGAGATATAAATAGTCAGTCAGTCTGTCATTTTCCATCTGTAGCCTCAGTAATAAAATGAAGCAACTAACTGGTAAAGACAGTAAGTGGATTTTCAAAGGATAAAACCTCGTAGCTGCTTTCTGTGCCTGCAGGAAGAATGCAACAGATAAATAAAGCTCTGAAATCTCTGTACAGTGATTACTCGAACTGTACAGTGATTACTGCTGGAAATCCAGGCAGGCAGATTGGCTACATGGGAGGTTTCGAGGCTGCCGCCATCTGTAATATGAAAATAGCCAATTCCCTTTATAACGAGCTCCACGAAGGCCTTCTTCCTCTTACGCAGGTAACTCTTGTGTGCTTTGTGTCAATTGACTTAACATACCCCACTGTACTTTTGTTTTCGCGTCGTCAAGAAAAGTTATACCTCTGCAAACATTTCACAGAAAGTTACATTTAAATATGCAAGACAACTAATGGTTTGCGTCCCACTGAACTCCTTCGCATTTACAGGCCTGATTAAAATGATATCCAGATCACCTCTTTTAGTTCGCAACAAATAATGTACTCTTTGCAGTTGAATAAAGATTCAGTCTACATATTGATTTCAGAATTAGTATATACTAATTTCAGAACTGGTTTATTATTGGTATAGAAAATGTTCGGAACTTGCTGTCATTCCAGTAACATCTGCAAAACGTACACATACAGAAAAAGTAATTTGAGAGTTTGGATGAGTATTACTGTTGGTGGCTGTTCAAAATTTAAAATTTTGCCTTGCCGTATTATGACTTCAATGGGGTGTAAAGCTTATATCCTTGATCAGTATCCTCACACAGTTCTTGCAAACACAGATCTTGATGATATTTTTATAGATGAGGAGGTTCGATTCTCACGCTCAGCACAGGGCTCGCATTCTTGGCTGATCTTTCGAATCGCAAACACTGATATTATGGAACTACCTACTTGAATCTCATCAAAGACGGAAGATGTTTAATTTCTCTTTATGATCATCTGCGAAACCTTTACGAACTAGGAATATTTTATTTTTGTGAATGAGTAGAGGTACTTCAAGCCACCATCGATTGTCTTATTCTTTCTGACTCTGCCGGGTGTGCTCTCAGCCGAGACCATTTCATATTGATAGCTCTCCAACAAAAGACATTCTCTTACCAAACATTCTATGTCTTGATTCCGCATTATTTTTTTTGCTGGCTGTTTCTTCTGCCTTTCCTCACGCTAATGTCTTTTATTATACTTTACCCTCTGAAAAACTTCAGTGAATTTCCATAATTCCACTTCTTTCTAACTTCTTTGGTTGCTAAGTTTCAGATATTTTTGCAAATATCGAAGCTGACGGTCTGTTACCGGCAACTCTCGCACACAGAAGTCATTTAATTGGTTAAAACTGTTGTTAGGTAAGTATTTAATATATTCTCATTTATTAGTGCAAATATACAATCAGAAGTAATCTCAACTAATAGAACGGAAAACAATGTTTTTGTTTGTGAACAGGGGTACACTTTAGACGTGCTTTGCGCTTTCAGTGGGTAAATTTTTCTTATCATCTGCCCGTCTAGCTATAAAATTATTTTCGTATTTCGTGGCTATCGCTCGTGTTTTCTAGATCTACAAAGTTTTTGAATACATAAAAGCAGGTGTTATTCTTTCTCTAAGTGAATTTGATATTGCAGACAAAATAAAAATTATTGTCAATTCACTTGTTTCCATTATTTATTTTTAGATACATCTGCAAGTAAGCTAAAGCAAAAGGTGCATAGCTGCATCTTCAATAACTTAAATCTTATATTTCAAAAGTCTCCACTTTATGGCGAAATGAGGTCACAGCAATTTTCTTTTATTTATTTATTTTTTCCCCCCTAACTATTGGCATCGCTGTTTTTCATTATACGCTGTATATCTTATATTTCTAATGAATAATTCTTAAACTAACGGGTTATTGCAACTTAAAATTACACTGGTGTGCAAAAATTAAGGACGAGACGGTTTTATCAATATAACTTTGCACAAAAGCTTTCCAAATCAACACATTTAATACCGTAAGATCCCCCAATACGTAAGGACATGAGTAATGTAAGCAACACATACTAAAAGAGAAATCAGAGGGATAAAAAGAAGCTTTATTGAAAAAGTAGCATGAAGCGCAGTGCGACTGAAGTCCGAAACATCCCTGTGATGTGTGTCCAGCAAGAAACATCCGGTCTTTAATAGGGGATATGATCTCCCCTGACTGCTAGACAGGTTTCACAGAGTCTGCCCATGCTGAGAATGAGGGTGTCTATGAGTTGTTGAGGCATTGCTGCCCATTCGTCTTGCAGCGCCAATCGAAGCTCCGGAATCGTTACTGGTGGTAAGGTACGAGCTTGCCAAGCGTCTGCCTAGAAGATCCCATACATGCTCGATGGGAATGAGATACGGAGATCGTGCCGGCCAATCCATACGTTCAATATCCTCACTCTCTAAGAGCTGTTCGGCAGCTACTGTGCGATGACATAGTGCATTGTCGTCCATGAAAAGGAACTGCGGACCCATAGCGCCTCTAAAAAGACGCACATATGGAAGAAGAATCTCG